GCCAGTAGGGGAGGGCAGTTGGGGGTGACCAGGCCTACAGGGGAGGGCAGTTGGGGGTGACCAGGCCTACATGGGAGGGCAGTTGGGGGTGACCAGGTCTGCAGGGGAGAGCAGTTAGGGGCGACCAAGCCTGCTGGGGAGGACAGTTAGGGGCGACCAGGCCAGCAAGGGAGGGAAGTTAGGGGTGACCGAGCCAGCAGGGGAGGGCAGTTAGGGGTGACCAGGCCTGTAGGGGGAGACAGTTGGGGCAATTGGGCCATCAGGGGCGGGCATTTAGGGGTGACCAGGTTGGAAAGGGAGGGAAGTTAGGGGCAACCAGGCCTGCAAGGGAGGACAGTTAGGGGCAACCAGGCCTGCACGGGATGGCAGTTAGGGGTGACCAGGCTGGCAAGGGAGGGCAGTTAGGGGTGACCGGGCCAGCAGAGGAGGGCCATTGGGAATGACCAGGTCTGCAAGGGAGGGCAGTTAGGGGTGACCAAGCCTAGGGGAGGGCAGTTATGGGTGACCAGGCTGGCAGGGGAGGGCAGTTAGGGGCAATCAGGCCAGCAGGGGAGCAGTTAGGCATCAATCAGGCTGGCAGGGGAGTGGTTAGGGGATCAGGCTGGCAGGAAGAAGTGGTTAGGGGCAATCAGGCAGGCAGGCGAGCGATTGGGAGCCAGCAGTCCTGGATTGGGAGAGGGATGTCCGACTGCCTGTTTAGGGTGGGATCGAGCCTAAATGGGCAGTGAAACATACCTCAAGGGGTCCCAGATTGGAGAGGGTGCAGGCTGGGCTGAGGGACACACACACACACACACACACACACACACTGCACAAATTTCATGCACCGGGCCTCTAGTTAGATAATAAAATTATATAGGTTTATTTTTCTAATAGAGCCTATTTTTAAAGACAGGCCTATATGCTGCCAAGACCTCTTCACTGCCTTCCATTTGCCTCAACATTTTTTTGAATTTAAAATAATATATTCACATTGTTACAAACTTTCTTCTCAGTCTATTATATTTATGTCCTTATTAAAAATATTTTTAAAATAGAGACCTAAAGAATAATATGAAGTTAATGTGATTCTGATTAATCTCAGTATTTTATGTTGAAAAGAGTTATAGCAAATATCTAATTTGTATTAGAAATATATTTCCAGTAATACTTAAAAATTGTACCCTTGTTTTCTTTTGTTCTTTGGAAGATGACTGTGAATGTAGCTAGGAGTTCAGAATAAGGAAGAAAACTGAAGGAATTGTTACCTTCATTTGAGAATTTTGAAATTGTTAGAAGAGTTTCATCTTTATCTCTACCCACCTTTCCTCAGTACACACTTTTAATTTTCTCTTGGCTTCCTTATAATTAAGAATTTTCACTTGTTTGTTCCTAGACTCCCTAAAAATTTTATAATGGCATTGACATTCTTCCCAGTAAAATGTTGTATATACACACTATTTTGCATGTAATTTCAGGGATATGTGAGCCCCAGTAGTAAGAACCCTTGTATTAATATTATATATAAACTAGAGGCCCAGTGCACGAAATTCGTGCACTGAAGGGGGTTTGTCCCTCAGCCCAACCTGTGCTCTCTCACAGCCCGGGAGCTCCACAATTGATCACCCCAAAGAGGTAGGCCCTGCCCGCCTGGCCAGGGCTCTCTGATGGATTGGCCCCTCAAAGGGAGGCCCTGCCCACCCACCGCAGCCCACTGGTCGGTGGCCTGGGCCTCCCTCTTTGGGGTGATCGTGGAGCCCCCCAATTGATTGATCACCCTGCTGGCCGGTGGCCTGGGCCTCCCTCTGCAGGGCAATCATGGGATGATGGCCGCGTCTCGGACCAATCGCATAGCACCCTCCTTGGCTTGCCTGGCACCAGTGGATGTCATAGCATGGTCATCGGGAAGGTCGTCCGGGAGGACATCTGGAAGGTTGTTTGGCTGTCTGGTCTAATTAGCATATTACGCTTTTATTATTATAGATGGTATATATTGAAACCCGCCAGTGTGGCTCAGTGGTTGAGCATAGACCTAGGAACCAGGAGGTCACAGTTTGATTCCCGGTCAGGGCACATGCTTGGGTTATGGGCTCAGTCCCGATCAGGGAGCATTCAGGAGGCAACTGATCAATGATTTCTTTCTCTCTCTCCCTCTCCCTTCCTCTGTGAAATCAATAAAAATATATTTTTAAAATGGTGTATATTGAGAAAAATCTTTGTTTAGAATTAAACTTATACTTTTTCCTGCTAAATGGTGCATCTCAAATAATAGTGGAGATTAAACCAGTTTATAACAAATAAATTACCACATAAAACTTGAGTGCAGTCATTATGATGAGACACATGACAGCTTCAGATTCCAGCTTCACACTTCCAACACTTCTACAATAGCATTTCCCAATGTTAAAAAAACACCAAACTGCTTTCCTGTGTCATCCTTCTCCTTGCTGTCATCACTTTCAACACTGTTGCTAAATGTTATGGACTGCCATTACTATAACAGACATGCAAACACACACCCAGAGATTCATTATTAGATTATTTATCAGTAGTCCTTATAAATTATTAACTGCTTCTTAATGGGATTGAATTCTTATTAATGACATTGACTTGTCTAGTTATGACAGTTTTCTCCTTGCCCTTTCTCTTACATCTGAAAAAATAGTAATGGCAGTTTATCTTTAGAGAAACTCTTTCCTTCTCCAAACAAGTATATTGACAAGACAGTTCAGCCAACGTTAGGGTAGGAGATGCACTCCCATGCAGCCTCCCAGGGTACAGATGGTGACTTTTCAATACCATCTGTTCGTTATTTCTTTATAACCATTTATAATTTCTCCCCCTCCGTGAAAACTGAAAAGGAAAAAATAAAGGCCTAGTTTTAGAGTTCCTGGAATTTAGCTGCTCACTTTTTTTCCTATAATCCAGGAAAGGTTATGGCTCTTCTCCTAAATATCCCAGTCATTAGCTTACATAGTCACTTCATATTTCTTGGTGCTAACTGCTATGCAATTCACAAGTAACAGGAGAACAACCTTTTGTTAGTCTACTTTGTATACTTGAAAAAATAATCACATAAAGCAATCTGTTGTGTGTGTTTTTGAACATATATTTTACTGATTTTTTACAGAGAGGAAGAGAGAGGGATAGAGAGTTAGAAACATCAATGAGAGAGGAACATTGATCAGCTGCCTCCTACACACCCCCTACTGGGGATGTGCCCGCCACCAACGTACATGCCCTTGACCAGAATCAAACCTGGGACCCTTCAGTCTGCAGGCCAGTGCTCTATCCACTGAGCCAAACCGGTCAGGACGCAATCTGTTCTTTTACTTCCTTTAACTTTGTATAAACCTAAATAGTCTACTTATTCCTTATAAGTAGAAGCTCAGTCTTTGTTCACCTTCTCTTGTAGAAGCTGCTGGTATTTTTTTTTCCTTCTGATATTATGCAGATGGGAAGGTAATACCTAGTAGTTGAAACAGTCTTGAAGCATGCCATAGCAAGCAATGCTAAAAGCTGGCAGAAATATTAGTTCCTGACCTTGGCAAATACTTTCTAAATTTTTCTTTGTTAGCTTTTGTCCTCGTCATCTCCCGTTAAGATCTTTGCTTACTGGAGGGACAAGATTTGCTTTAGACTCTATGTCAGCCGTGGGCAAACTATGGCCCGCGGGCTGGATCTGGCCCGTTTGAAATGAATAAAACTAAAAAAAAAAAAAGACCGTACCCTTTTATGTAATGATGTTTACTTTGAATTTATATTAGTTCACACAAACACTCCATCCATGCTTTTGTTCCGGCCCTCCGGTCCAGTTTACGAACCCATTGTGGCCCTCGAGTCAAAAAGTTTGCCCACCCCTGCTCTATGTAGTTGTCATATTGTGATGCATAGTGTTCTACTACTCTGATATCATAGAATTTTGACTTGTGACTAAACAAAAGACTCGAGAAGAGAAATGACTGAAAGGTATAGATATTATTGCCCTATGGATTTATTTTTAAAAGATCAAGACCTATGAACAAGTATAAGGTAAAGAGTTTGCTTACATACTATTTTAGAATTACTTGCTCATGTTTTTATTTTTTCTTGACCTTATAAAATTGCAGTGCTTCTCATTGTCCTTTAGTGAGATATTTTTCCTTCTCTTAGTCCTTGTGTGTTATTGGTAGTATTTGTGTGATAATCCCCTATATGAACATTGGTAGGCATAAATTGAGTTCCTAAACTACAGGTAATTCCTTTCTAAGCATCAGGGTAACTTTGCTTCATATTCTTTGTTTAATATTCATATTTCAATATTGATGTCTTTCTACTGGCCAACTTTTCAATCTGTACTATTTTTTAAATTTATATTTCCAAAGCAAGAGTTATAGTTTTTGTTGGTTATAGTAGCTAGTTGTAGGTTACAGGACCTCTCCCAAGTAACAGTCAAGTGAAACTTTGAACATCATGAGGAGAATCACATAACGGCTGAGGCAGATGCCAGAAGTATCATCTATATTCCCCCTTGATCCTCACTTTAACTCATACTGTTATCCCTAAATTAGACTTGGTTGCTAAAATCTAAGAAATCTGATTTCTTCTATGCTCGTTTTGATTTGTGCATACTTTTAGAATGTTGTAGAGGTCTACTTTGGGTTATGTATTGAAGGTACCACTGTTTACAATAACATTTATTGTTTGGTCATACTGTTTATATTAGAGTCATTTTATTCTTTAAATTAGAATTTCCATGGAGTGACTTTTTTGTGTGGTTGATTTTTTAAAATTTCTTTATTGATTAAGGTATTACATATGTGTCCTTATCTCCCCCATTGCCCCCCCCCCACCTCCCCCACTCATGCCCTCACCCCCTTGTTTTCTGTGTCCATTGGTTAGGCATGCATACAGGTCTTTTGGTTGATCTCCCTCTTACCCCCACCCTCTCCTATCTTCCCTCGGAGGTTTGACGGTCTGATCGATGTTTCTCTGTCTCTGGATCTGTTTTTGTTCATCAGTTTATGTTGTTCATTATACATGGAGTGACTTTAAAAGGGGATTGGTGTCCATTGCTTAGAATACATTTCAGCTGATTTGGTACTATTTATTTAATTTTAGGATATAATTGAATGTTAAAGTTTAATGAATGAAATATAATCATATCAATCTCATTCTTTTCTTTTTAAATTGCTTTTAATAGCATACTACCTCTCTTTACCTCCTCTTCTGCCTAGGCTTTCAAGTGTAGCACTCAAAACGGATAGCTTTTTTCTTTAAGGAAAGATCATATACGTGGGGAGAAGTTTCAAGGTACAATTTGTAATAATTTAACATTCTACGTGTGTATGTTTTTTGTTTGCTTTTTGCTTTGGGGGTTTGTTTTTGTTCTTACTTTAAGGATAGCACAATGTTCTCTGTGTATTATGATTTCGTCTGGGAAAATTTTGCTCATTAGGGTTACCACTAGCCCATTTAGTACCTTTTTGTACGTTAGGAAAAGGGGCCTTTTCCCTGGGAACAAGACCTCACAAGAAAATGTATTGCAACTGGATTTTGGCCCCTGCTCACCCTTGGCCAAGTGTTCTTGTGTAGCAAACAAAATGCATTACCTTGCATGGTACAAATTCAGATTCTGAACTTTGTACTGCTTTGGATTTGTTTTGAAAATTCCATTATAGTTAAAGTAGCTCATAGTTTTAAAAAATGTAAGTGTATGTAAAATTATATAACTAAAAGTATAGCAGAACAGGTAAAATAGTGTTTCCTTTGCAGAACAGTATGAAAATAGATGACGTTTTACTTCAAATGTAGTATTATTTTACAATTTTTTAAATTGAGAAGTATTAGTTTATTTCCCATAACATTTAGACATTCTGATTCCGTAATTAATGCGTCAGCATGTTATGCAATTAATTGTTTAGTGCTTTGTGTTAATAGTATTATAAGTCATGTAATGAAACGTTTGTATTTTCTTTTTTCTGTTTACTCAGGTACTTTGGTCTGGGAAGCCATATGGTTCATCTCGGAGTATTGTACGGAAAATTGGTACTAATTTATCTCTGATCCAGTGTCCCAGAGTTCAGTTTCAGGTACTGTATATTTAAAATTTTTTGTATTAGTGTTTGTATTAGGAATATAAATAGGCAAAATAGCTTTACTAGTATTTGTTAAGCTTTTCCTCTTATTAATGCTACTATCAGTAAAATAAAAGAGAATTTTTATCAATCATAGTAAAGTCTTTCTAATCTTAGTTCCTCTTAGAAGTGATAATTCAAGATCTTTAAGACATTTACCCTCCTTAAGAATACATATGTGAGGATTTAGAAACACATAAGAAGCCAAGCAAAATTGTTACTTCCCAGGTGGTCTTGAAGGTAGGCTTCAGGAGAAGGTATTACTTCAGGAGATTCAGGTACCACCATTATTTTCTTTATTTATTACACCTTCCTCTTTGGATAGCCACTCTGTTTCTCTTGTTTATTTTTAGATGTCTCTGTGCATGCCTTATAAGTTGATTTCCCCATCCTTTGTTTAAAGCTTAGCATTAATTTTGGGAACTATTGCCTTGGCAACAATTGTGTTAAGACAGAGGTAATTGTAGTTCTCGGAATGAGGTGATAGTCAAACACGGAATTAGTATTACTTTTGAATGCTCAGGTCTTAGTCTCTTTAGCACCAAATCAGGGGCAACTCTACTCTTTGCTTGGCGGTAAATTGCTATTTTCTTGATTTGGGTTTTTGTTCCTTATTGCTGGTATAGTGTTAGACATGCTTTGTTCTTGATTTTTATTAATTTAGCACAAGAGCTATACACAAAACCTTTTAGTTCAACATTTAAGAATATCAAGTTCAGCAGATATCTATACCAATTTAAAATAGTAGATTGGGATATAAAATGCAGAAGATAAATTTAACTCATTGTTCAAAAGTTCAAAAGTGTCCCTATGAGCTTATTGGATATTTTGTCATACTCATAAACCACTCTTCCTGGTAGATAGAAGTAAAAAAAACCCCAAACCTGTTCCTAAGTAAGTGGTAGCAATTAGTGTTTGTTCAGTTTGACTAACAGGTTGCTCATTGTTGTGCTATAGTCCTGCTTACAAATTGACTGGCAAAACTTTTGTGCATCAATCTAGAAACTGACAACTTAGAAATTTCTAATAAGTAATTGTGATCAAACAATAGGCTTTAAAAAATAATAATCAAAATGAAGAAATCTGTGGTAGTGAATCTCTCCAGCATCATTTCTGAGAATTCAGTTCATTTAACTTCCTTCAAATAACTATTGTTGTAACTAAGACTTGTTAAGTTTTTTTTCTGATTTGCTCAGTTCCATTCAATTTTTTTTTTTTACATATTTGTCTACTTAAACTAATGGCAGAAGACCTTGCTTCAACGTTTGTGTTCATGTAGCTAGAGACATGTAACAGGACATGGGGATAATCTAGCATTTTCTGATAGCAAGCAACCCAAATCTGCCTTGACAGTCAGTGGGCTGAAGTACTAGAACCAAGTACATTTCCTGGGAAGGAAGTAACAGTTTCTCAGTCACTGAAAAGAGTATGAATAGAATAAAACTGTTAGATTTAGTACAGGAGCTGCATTTCAGAAGAGATGAATTAACATAAGGAGAGGAGTAAAGTAAGAGAAATATTGGTCACTTACTTGAGAATGTAGTGGAAGACATTTGTTTATACTGAGACTTTTACTTCCAGGCAGTTTTGTTGTATACTGAGTCTTTTCAAATTAAACATCAATATTAAAGTGGGTATTTTATCTGCTACTTATTATAAATAGGCTGTTTTTACTCTGTATTTTCTATTTTTTAAATACATCTATCAGAAATATTAAAAATGTAGAGTCTTCAAAAAACATAAAGGATGCAATTTATAATAATACAATTGAAAATGCATTTTTGCTATTTTTCTGGCTCATTCAGGGGGCTTGATTGATGTGGAATGTATTTGAACTGTGTAGGTGTCCAACATGAGTAAATACTACTATAGAAAATGTGGAATTGGGGAGTCACAATTGGACCCAGGCATACTGTTTCTTACTTCCTAGGTTATTTTGAGAGACACACACATGTTCCTCTCCTTGTTCTTCTCCCTTTTCCTGTTCACCCCAGACCCTCTCACTCCCATTCTTGGTGTGTCATGAATAGAAAGCATCAATATCCGAACATTAAGCTGAGTCTCGTCCAGAATATTTGAGTGCTACATACTTCAGATTAGTGCTCTTTATACAGGTACACCTCTTGGCCTAACTGGTATCCCTGTATGTCATCATTTTAAAATACAGAATTTCTGTTTTCAGTTTTTCTTACTATGGTAGGAATTGGTAAAAAAGAAAAAAAAGAAAAAGGAATAACTCTGTAAGAAAAAAGCTAGAGATTATTATTTTACTGTGTTCATTTTAAGAATACATATTTTGTATTTAGCTATAAACAAATGGTGGTAAAATAGACTGAAGCTGTTTACTAGTACATTCTTTTTGGCAAGAAACTGAGAGCATCCTCATACCAGTGTGTTTTTTTATGAAGAGTCACATACAGACAGAATGAATTTTTAAAATATTTCATTCTAAGTATTTCAATTTTTGAACATGCTTTGGGTATTTCTTTTTTTCATTTTAAATGAATTTCCTTAGTGTAGTTTTACATTGTGAGAATATTTTAAATTATCGGAAGTTACTTCAGTAAAATATTTCAAATATAATTGGATTTTAGATTATTTAAATGGTATAAAATGTTCAATTGAATTGCTTAGGATACTAAAATTACAATACTATTGCTGAGTTTTTGCTCTGAATGAAATGCTTTTCCATACTTTTTGAAAGGAATTTGGATACTTATAAATCAATAAGCACTAATTTAAAATTTTATAATGCCCTCGATTTAAAAATAAATTCTATTCCTTTCACTGTTGTTTTTCCTCCCCTACTAACAATAGCCATGGTAGGACAGGACCGTGCTGGAGCCTTCAGTAAGTGGCCTTTTCTATTTTCAAACTTACCATCAGTCATCCATGCATGTCAGTAGTGGCATCTAAATCATATTTCAAAAATTCCATATTGTCAGTCCCCTTGACTGCACTGACTTCATCTTAACTGGTCTTTGACTAATTGAGTTGTCCTTCCCATTCCATGCTTATGTTACTCAGTGCACATTTCAGCAACAACTGAAATGGCCTTTTTTTTTTGTCTTTGCAAGTTATTAATCTGTTTGAATAGAAGCCATAACTATATACTACAGGAACCAACCAGTGGATGATGGGGTTTATCAGCTCAGTAGGCTTATGAAGTATATATATGTTTAATGACATATTTTAACACAAACTCTAAAAATTGTGTGTGGCAGTATTTGTAATTATTGTTTTGGTCAGGTTATATCCATTACTAAATGTATTAAAGCCAGCCATCAGTCCTAGCTGATGTGGCTCAGTTGGTTGGAGTGTCATCCCATACACCAAAAGGTCACAGGTTCGATACCCGGTCAGGGCACTTAACCTAGGTTGTACATTCGGTCCTCAGTTGGGGCACATGCGAGAGGCAACCAATTGATATTTCTCTCTCTTCTTCCCTCTCGGCTTTTTGCCCCTTTCTTCCCTTCCTTCCTTCCTTCCTTCCTCTCTCTAAAATTAATAAACATGCCCTAACCGGTTTGGCTCAGTGGATAGAGCGTCAGCCTGTGGACTGAAAGATCCTGGATTCGATTCCGGTCAAGGGCATGTAGCTTGGTTGTGGGCACATCCCCAGTGGAGGGTGTGCAGGAGGCAGCTGATCGATGTTTCTCTCTCATCGATGTTTCTAACTCTCTATCCCTCTCCCTTCCTCTCTGTAAAAAAAAATCAATAAAATATTAAAAAAATAAAAAATTAGTAAACATATCCTCAGATGAGGATTAACAAAACAAACAAAAAGAAACCCCAAAACGCAATCATCAGTGTATTTTAAAGTAATTATATTTTACATTAGATCTCTAACAATTTCATGTTACTGCTATAATTTCATGTTACCACTCATAATAATATAACTATATGAGGAAATAACCATTTCCAACAGTCTGTACACTCTCGTGTGATACCCTGATCATTTCATTAATGGAACAATGACACACTTTTCACAGTGTGAATGACCACAGAGATAGGTAATTTTGTATGATCACTTGCACTGTGACACACATAACTGTTCCATTCATGAAAAACTCACTCTAACAGGATATTATTTTAATAAAATGGTTTAAAAGAAATACTTTGTTTATAAGCAATTACTTTATTATTTAGATATATCAGTAGAAAATCCTCTCAAATTGGAAAATCATACAACTGAGTGTCAGATTAACATTTAAAAAAAGCAATAACTACTTTTATCATTTCCATGGTTCATTTTGTGAAATAGGTTTCATTATTTTAAAAAAATCAAAACCTGTTTCAATAACTATTTCAATTTAAAAAATTAAACTATTGTACATCCATATATAATTAAACTATTGGACTAAAATTATAATCTATATATATAAAAGCCTAAGCAACCGCTATGACCAGAATGACTGGTCAACCAGTCGCTATGACGTACACTGACTACCGGGGGGCAGACGCTCAATGCAGGAGCTGCTCCCTGGTGGTCAGTGCGCTCCCACAGCCAACCTCCCGCGGTCCCTCCCCCTGGCTGGCCAACCTCCTGTGGCCCCTACCCCTGGGCCCCAAATGGGAGGGCTGGCTAGCCGACCTCCTGTGGTCCCTTCCCCCGGTCAGCTGGGCCACTGATAGACCTCAATCACTGGCCAGGCTGAGGGTCCCCACCTGTACATGAATTTGTGCACCCGCCCTCTAGTTTGATAATAATAGAGAATTATTCTTCTCCTTTTTGGTAATTTTTAAAAAGATATGAAAAATCCTTTTATAAAAAGACTATAGAGGCCCTGTGCACGAAAATTCATGCATGGGGTGGGGGGCTGGATGGTCCCTCAGCCCGGCCTGCCCCCTCTCATAGTCCAGGAGCCCTCAGGGGATGTCCTAATGATGGCAGGGAGCGGGCCTAAAATGCAGTCTGGCCTCCCTCTGTGGGAGGCGACTGGGTAGATTAGGGGAAGGCGCTGCTCCCATCACCTCGCTGCTGCTGCTGCTGCCGGCACCATGGCTGCCTACCCTCAGCTCTCGCAGCTGCCGTGGCTTTGTCCAGAAGAATGTCCAAAAGGATGTTCGACTGTCTGATCTAATTAGCATATTATGCTTTTATTATTATAGATTAGTATAATTACTTTTTAGTTTTATTTTTTCTTTTGAATGATTATGGTTTCCCCACACACTTTGTTAGGCTTCTCCTTTTTTAAAAAAAAATCTTTATTGTTGAAAGTATTACATATGCTTTTTCCCCCCCCATTGACCCCCTTCAGCTGTCCTCACCCACCCCCCTTTTTTTGGTGGCATAAATCACTGTTAGAAATGACATAGATTTTACCAGTTCTGGAATTGATTTTTTTAAAAAAAGTATCTTGACAGTATCATTAACTTTTTCATTTCATTGAGCACACAGTATAGACATGGTTTTATTTCAGTGATTAAATATAATCAGTGCTTGGTATGATTACAAACTAAGATCATGGAATAATTTGGCTTATTTTTTAAAGTTTGTGCAAAAACAACTTCTCATGTCTAATATATGAAGTATTACAGATATCAGTTTGGGAAACATTCAATCTTTATGCTATAAAAGACTGAAAAGCTGCCACAAAACGGGTTAACTTTTATATTTTTGAGTGCTTATTAATTTATTTTTAAATTTAAATTTCATTTTTCTTTTTTCTTTTTATTAATTTTTTTATTGAAATTTCGTTTTTCAATTAGGGCTTACATTTAATATTATTTTGCATTAGTTTCAGGTGCACAGCATAGTGGTTATTTTATTTTATTTATTTATTTTTAAAATATATATTATTGATTTTTTATAGAGAGGAAGAGAGAGGGATAGTTAGAAACATCAATGAGAGAGAAACATCGATCAGTTACCTCCTGCACACTTCCTGTAACCAAGGTACATGCCCTTGACCAGAATCGAACCCAGGACCCCTCAGTCCTCAGGCTGACGCCCCATCCACTGAGCCAAACCGGCCAGGGCATATTTTAAAAGTATCATTTTGCTTCTTTTTATAAACAAATATCTGGGAAGAAAACGGCAATTTTTGTAACTTATAGGAAAGTAAGAAATCTTGAGGTCAAACTACAAAATAGCTATATTGGAACAAATTTTTATTTTCTAATTAAAAAATTATAATCAAATAGGTCTTCATGAATTAGCACCTTAGGAAGGCATCATCCAGATTTTAATTTCATGATCTCTCGTTTGTACAAAATAGCCCATTAATACTCTGCCTTCTAGGAACCTCTACAGGGCCTTGGGAAACTTTATGTTCAAAGATCTCCACATAACCCATGTAGAGTCTTCTTATTATAATATTACTAGAGGCCCGGTGCACAAAAATTTGTGCACTGGGGGGCGGTGTCCCTCAGACCAGCTGGTGCCCTCTTGCAATCAGGGACCCCTTGGGGGATAACCACCTGCTGGCTTATCCACGGGAGGCCCCGATGGTGGTGGGGTGGGCGGCGGCTCACGCTGTTCTACCCCGCCGTCTCAGGTCACACACGGGAGGCCCGGATGGCAGCTTGCACTGTCCCACCCCACCTGCAGTATGCAAATTTAACGGCCATCTTTGTTGGGTTAATTTGCATACTCTTCTGATTGGCTGATGGGCATAGTGGAGGTACAGTCAATTAGCATCTTTGTTTTTTATTGGTGTAGACAGGAATATTATTATACCAGTAGAGGCCTGATGCACGAAATTCATGCAAGGGGCTCGGCCCTCGCAGCCCTGGCTTCATCCAGAAGGTTTTCCGGAAGGATGTCCGGAAGGTTGTTTGGCTGTCTGGTCTAATTAGCATATTATGCTTTTATTATTATAGGTTCTGCTTTCAGTAATGGTTAGGAACAGAATATTACCAGTTTTCTCAGACTATTGAGATCAGATGTGATGCTTCTTCCAGTAAAGTTATTTCAGTTGTATAACATACCCATTTTATTGAATATATATTTCTTTACTGACACATGGATAAATTTCTGAAACACATAAAGGAGAAGTACATTAATCTCATTTTTTATTTTTCTTTGATCATCTCCCTTGACAATGTACTTACTGATGCTGATACTGTTTTTCTCTTTTGACCACAATTATTCTACTGCATGCAAAACATTAGTAATTTGAAAGCCTTTTCATCTTAATTCCATTATTCCATTGTTTTTTGCTCTGGATTAAGTTCTTAAATGTCTACTCTTACTAAATCTTGTTTTCTCCCTTGCCTGTACCCCCGTCCTCTCCAAAGGACAATTTAAGGCATTTTAAATACTTGATGTTCTTAGTATGTTATTGTTAAAATACCAGTTTTCTAATGCTACTTTATTAGGTTAATAATGTTAGGTAATTACGATATATAATGGATACACATACATACCAGCAGCTAATATGTTTAGTCAACATTTTATTCATAATATTAAAGGTATTTTAAACTTAAAACTAATTAGTATTATGTATTTGTATGGTATGTTTTACATTTGAGAAAGAAGCATTATTTAAGTGTAGCTTCCAAAATCTTGATCTGGCAAATGATAGCATTATAGTTCAAACAAAGTATGGGATTATGTTACAACCTTTTTGATAAATACATTAATAAGTAAATTTCTCTGCCTTTTAAATTGTATTTTTTAATATTTTTAAAATTTATTTCAGAGAGGAAGGAAGAGGGAGAGAGAGGTAGAAGCATCAATGATGAGAGAGAATCATTGATTGGCTGCTTTCTGGACGCAACCTGGGCATTTGCCCTGGCCGGGAAACAAACCATGACCTCTTGGTTCATATGTCGACTCTCAATCACTGAGTCACTTTTTAAATCACTTCATTTTCTTTTTCACTTAAACCTCATCCAACTTGTTGGAAGTGTTATATTGACCATGTGGCTCTGAGGCATTATAACAAAACTTTAAATCAATTAAATCATATTTCCAATTTTTCAAGGTAAATCTCAGAACTTGCATGCTTTTTTTGTTGTTGTATCTACTTAAAAATACTCAGTTCCTTCCTCTGTGTGTTTAAGATTAGCTAGAGAATTCTCTTCTACTGCTACTTGTATTTTTTGTTCCTTAATATAGTTAATACTTTTATTTAAAAATCATGAGCTTTAAGGATTTAAAAAAATCTATTTTCGACATTATAACAGTATAGCTATAAATATCCATTTAAACGATTCCCAGATTTAGCACAAATTGGTTACTTGTTCTTGTTCCTATACTTTTTTTTAAGCCAGATCTCGTCAGAAAAAATATTTAGTGCTTAAATTTGAAAAATGTTCTTAATGTTTTAGGATGACCAGAGTTTGTGTTTGTTGTTTTTTTAAAAAATCATTTGACCTATAAAATAAAAGTTGATCCCGGCTGGCATGGCTCAGTGGTTGAGTGTTACCTATGAACCAGGAGGTCATGGTTCGATTCCTGGCCAAGGCACATGCATAGGTTGCAGGCTCAATCCTTAGTGGAAGGTGTTCAGGAGGCAGCCGATCAATGATTCTCTCTTATATTGCTGTTTCTCTCTGTCTCCCTCTCTGAAGTCAATAAAAAATATATTTAAAAAAATGAAAAAGGTAAATTATAATTCAAAGATTATCATACATTATTAGGCAACATATGATGTAACTAATGGTCCCTTTCATGGGGACCTTTAATAGAAATGAAACTGCCCGTATGTTTGAAACACTAAAACTGATGATTTTCATTTAGGTCATTAAAAAGTTTTATTCTAATATTTTGGTGCCAGATGACAATCTTTTCCTATTTATAACTTACAGCTTACCAGCCCCACAACAGAATGGAGCCCCAGTCACCCCGGAGAGGATGCAGTGGCATCTTTAGCTGATGTTGGATGGGTAGCCGAAGAAGAAGGAGAGTGCTCAACAAGACGAAGGTCAGTCTGGAAACCTATGAGAACTGAGATAGGATATTTATTATTTTAAAAGATGTTATCTTTGCGGTATTTACTTTTAATAGCTGAATTTGGTCTCTAGTAATTAACCCAGGTTATCTTTTTAGCAGTCATCTGTTCTGTTTATTTTAAAGACTCAGTATTTATAAATTTCCTAAAGACATATAACTATTGTGTCCTTAAGAATTACAGAATTCCCTGCCTGTTAGAAGTTCTAATATGAGAGAACTGTCATAAATATGTTTATAAGTATAGTACTAAAATGGTATTATTGCTGTAGAAAAATCAGTGTGGGTTGTATTAGAGAAATTGTGTAATCATTGGAGAATAAGTCCTAAAAATTCTGAATCTGAGTTATGATTCAAAGGAAAGTATATCTAAGAGTTAAGACAGGGATTTCCATTTATTTGAAAGAGCCGGAATAAAGTATTACTATAGCTCAATCTAATAAACAATTATTCCACATATTCAACTCTTCATTCTTAGGCATTGAGGATACAGAGATTAAAATAAGACATAGTCCTAGTTTTCTAGGAATACTTGGTGTGCTAAAGGAGATTAAAGAAGAAATCAATAATATTATTACTGTCAAGTCAACTAAATACAGAAGGCCACTGTGGAATGAGAGAGGTTTGGCCAGGCTTCTCAAAGAAGGGGATGGTTAGAGCTGAGGGTCAGTAGGAGCCAAAAAGATTGAGTTCCTTGGTCTGTTGCTTCTTGCTATGGTCTGGGAGTGGTAGCTCTTTAAGAATTCTTTTTCCCTTGCTTACACTCCTTTGCGACCCATGAGTGTAAGTAGTATCACTGGCCACCAGAGTCTGGTGATCTAAAAGTGTCCCCTGGTGCAGCTTAAAAATCAGGGTGCCTTACAAGAGTGTACACATCTTTTGGGGGAGTTACTAAGTAACTGGAGCGAGGCAGAGGAAGAGAGCAAAGATTGCATCTACTGGCCTCTGTTCCCTGAGAGACTGTAGGCCTCTAGATGTGTGCCAAACCTGAAGTCTGTCCTTCAGGCCAGAGCTCCTGAAGGAGCATATAGGACTTCTCAGAAAGACTGGGGATGTTTCAGTCGGCTGTCTGTGCAGTGCCCTGAGGATGGTAGTTGGCCAAGACCTGTCTCTTTGATTTTTACAGTCCTATGGGAACCAGGAATGCAAGACTTCCTTGCCTTCAGAGCCAGGTGATCAAGCGTTGTCCCCTGGTGGCAGCCACAAAATATGGGGCATTAGACATAAAAAATCTGGGCATAGACTCTATGAAAGAGCCCCTCTGGAAGATACTGGTTCTCTGGAGCAGGGCAGAAGGGAAGGTTAAAGATGGTACCTATGGGGTACCTTCTGAAGCTATGAGCAGAAGGCCTAGGGTATTTTTTGGGGGGGGGGAGAGGGGGGATGGCACTTACAGTTGGTGCCTGCCAGCTTCCATCCCCAGAATATATCCTAGCAGACCCCTAGGTGTGTAGGCTACATCAGCGGTCGCCAACTGGTGGTCCATGAGGCCCGAAAGGTTGGCAACTGCTGGGTTAGATGACTGCCCTGCAGGCCCATACTTTAAGATTAACAAATGAGCCCTCACCAGTTTGGCTCAGTGGATAGAGTGTCGATCTGCGGACTGAAAGGTCCCAGGTTCGATTCTGGTCAAGGGCATGTACCTTGGTTGCGGGCACATCCCCACTAGGAAGTGTGTAGGAGGCGGCTGATTGATGTTTCTCTCTCATCGATGTTTCTAACTCTCTATCCCTCTCCCCTCCTCTCTGAAAAAAATCAACAAAATATATTTTTTAAAAAGAAAATGGAAAAAAAAGATTAGTAAGTGAGACTTTTACATAAAGTCCAGGCAGGATCAGCAGCTTCTGTGTTAGACCCTGGGGTGAGTCCCAGCATGAGAGCAAATTTAAGGGCCATTTCTCAGATCACTGTAGCCTTGTGGGTCTCTTGAATACTGTTGGGTAGACGTTTTGGGTGCTCATCTCTGAGATGCAGGTCTTAAAAGTTGGGGTGCCCAATGTGGTGTTCAGACTCTGCTCCATAGGAAGAAACTGTGGGTTTTGAGTTCCCTTCCTAGTGTGGGTCACTGCTCCTGGGGTGGGGTTTATTAGGAGATTGTGTCTCAGCCTCTCCAGCTTTAGTGCTATTTTTGTTTAGTGCTGTTTTTGTTGTTCAGCTAGATTTTACTTTTCAGAGGAAACTGTTCCATACATAACTGTAGATTTGGTGTATTCACTGGAGGAGGCGAGTTTAGGATTTTCCTATTCTTCCTGTGTTGCCATCTTGAACCAGAACTCAATATTCCTGAGTATGGATGGACCAGTTTATTTCACCATGTATCAGTTGATGGACATTTGGCTTGTGTGCAGGAATTTTTAATTAGCATAAATTTTCATTCATCTAGATTAAATGCAATTTCTGGGTCATATAAGTCATAAGGTGGTTGCATGTTTATTTATTTATTATTTTTAATAATTCTTTATTGTTGAAAGTATTACATATGTTCCCCCTTTCCCCCCATTGACCCCTCCAGTCCGCCCCTGCCCCCCACCCCGGGCCTTCAGCACCCTATTGCCTGTGTCCATGGGTTATGCATATATGCATACAAGGTCTTTGGTTGATTACTTCCCACCTACCGCCTCTCCCCTTAGATTCCATACTGTGTTCCATGTTTCCATGTCTCTGGATCCAC